AAGGTATAGATGTATGGAAATGGATCAATTTAAGATAAAAGCACAGTTAGCAAGATAAGGACAGTTAGCAGGAAGCCTGCCACGGCCATGCGGTTTGAAAGCAATATAAGTGTCTGTGTTTACTTGGTTGGGTCTGAGCGGCTGTGGGACTGGCGGGTGACAGAGGTTTGTCCTGACTGTGGGCGAGGTGAAAAAAATCTAGCTACATTCATATCGCTGCCATGGAGGCACATTTCCAGTCCTTTCCCCCACCCCAAGGTGGAACATCTCAACTACACAGAGCCAGTAAGTGTGCCCAAAAGCATCATGGGTACCTGTGCCATCTGGGATTTGTTCATCCCAATGCCACTCTTAGAGCATCATTTATCCTCCCTCTTCCAATCATATTTCAGCTTCTAGCTCCAGTTCCCCTTTCTCTATAGTTTCCTCAGCTATCTTGCCTTCTCAGCACCCATTATTCACAACTGCCAAATGTCTGAACACACTGGGTACTGCACAAGTCCAGTGGATCAGCAGATGTGGTTCACAAAGGTTATGGTATGACTGGAACCACTGAAGTGAAGCAGTGCTTGGCCTTACCGAAAACAAACTTATTTTCTGTACATTTGTGTTTTCAACAACACCTTATACATACTCTTCCTTAGATAATGCTTACTTGAAGCTGGTTATTTTCTTACCTCCAGTTCTGGTTCTGTATGATGGGGTAACAAACTACTCTAAAACTCAATGGCTTCAAACAGCAGTCTTTCATCTTGTCTTTTGATTTGGGGAATGAGGGACTGGGACAGGGCTTGATTGGGAGTTCCTTTTGTCTTCCTTGGTGGCAACTGGGGTCAGAAAGGGGTACCATGCTGGCAGACATGCTGATCACTTGTCTTGAACTTCAACAAGGAGATCTGGGGAGCTGGGCTCACCTGGGACTAAAACACACATGTGCATTTTAGCAAGAGAGTCTTAAGTCTCCTGAGTGTCTGACATGACAGATGATCTCCCCCGGGGATAGTATTCAAGGAGAATTAGCTCAAAGTCTCCGGGTTTCTTTTGACATTGTCTCAAACCCCAAATGTGTCACACCCACTACATCCTATCAGTTAATTGGGCTATGATGTTGTCCCATACTCAAGTGGATGGCCCTAGACCATCCTCAAGCAGAGGAGTCGAACATTTCTCAGTTGTTCACACTCCACCTGGGCTGTGGAATCCTCTAGACTGAAAATTAGGAATTACTCCTTTTGGCATCCAAAGTATCTACTATGGGGTCTTGCACAGAGAAGCACTGCAGTAGCCATGGGATGGGATGAGATAGAGGGATGTGATGGAATGAAATGAGGAGATATAAAATGAATGGGATGGATGGGGTATAACAGGATGGGTTAGAGTGAGGTAGAATGAAATGGATGCAATGGGACTGAGGAGTACAAATTAGATAAACACTAGGCAATCTGCCATGGCTTTGCTGCTCTGTTCTCCTCAATCCTGAAATTTTCCTTAAGGTATGTTGCAGTGTGAGCATTGTTGCAGAAGTATCCCAAATACACAGCTTGAATATGCTTGACAAGTGTTCTGCCACTAAGTTATACCCCCTAGTCCAAAGATGTACTTCTAATGCAGGGTCACTTTAGGCCAGCTTCCATTACCTCCATAAAATTCAGTTTCCATATTCACAGTATTCCCTAATAATTACTCCTAACGCATAGGTGTTATTGAGTTAGATACAGCATATCCGATGTAAAAAGGCTTGATTACAATAAACACTCACTAAAACATGAGTAAATAAACACATGTGTGGGCACACACGGTGGAGAAAAGGTGAATAACCTAAAAATAGGTTGGAAGGTCATCAGAGATACAGCCTCCTGAGTCAGTTTTCCATCTGGGTCATAATGTTCCAGACTTAGCAAAATACTCATAAGGAGAGCAGAGGGGAAATAAATGTGTGTCCGAAGAGAGTGAGGTTGCTTCCCCTAGCAAAAACAATCTGGAGTCCTGTGCTTTGTCAACAGTGCCCAGCACACTTGTCGGTAGATGGTGAAGTCTCCCGGTCCTAATCCTAATCATGACAGTAATCAACAGCATCATATCCCTGAAAGGTTCTCTGATTTCCTTTAAATGGCATTCATGGGAGAGCCAGCCCTGGCTCTATTCTAGGCAGGCTCTGATGTCTCTCCAAGACACAGTTGACAAATTACAGCACGGAATGGGCAGGTTAGAATTCAAGATGACAGAAAAGCAGTGTCAAACAATTTTCAGCTCTTTCAGATGGATTCTAAACACAGCCAGTAAATAACACCTCCTGGTGCCTACAGCCCAGGCCTCAACCCCATCCCTGAGGAAGGGAGTCATCACTTTCTTGTTTCAGCCAGAAGCCACCATTTCTTACTTTGATGCTCACTGGATCCAGTACCTTTAAAATATATATTAAAGGTACCCAAGACAGGAAACTCAGCTATACACCTGAGAAGCCACTGAATCAAGTACTTCTCAAGAAACTTCATCGCCAAGGTACTGAGAAGATGCCCACTTTCCAAGTCCTATACACAGGTACTTTTTTGGGGGGTGGGGGTCGTTTGAGACAGGGTTTCTCTGTGTAGCTTTGCGCCATTCCTGGATCTCGCTCTGTAGATCAGGCTGGCCTCGAACTCACAAAGATCTGCCTGCCTCTGCCTTCTGAATGCTGGAATGAAAGGCGTGCACCAGCACTGCCCGGCTTAACCAGGTACTTCTTAAAAGATGTTCTAAAAGCCAGGCAGTGATGGCTCATGACTTTTATCCCAGCACTCAGGAGACAGAGGCAGGCAGATTTCTGAGTTCAAGGCCAGCCTGGTCTACAGAGTGAGTTGCAGGACAGCCAGAACTACACAGAGAAACTCTATCTCTATAAAAAACCACCACCAAAAGGAAGAGAGAGAGAGAGGAGAGAGAGAGAGAGAGAGAGAGAGAGAGAGAGAGAGAGAGAGAGAGAGGATCCAAAGCTGAGTTGTCACTCAGGAAAGTGCAACATTAGGAGCTATGATAAAAAGTCAGTTACCAGGCTTGGTCAAGATCCAAAGGAGGCATGGTGGTGGTTTGTAGCAGGAATCTTAGAAGGTCTTATTAATAAAATCAAACCTGAGGCCAGGTATTGGGGTGAATACTGGAAGATCAGAGAAGCAGAACAAGCCACAGCCACCTCACCTCACCAGTTCCTCAGCTGATCCTGTTTCCTCAGACTGGAAGCCTCTGAGTTAGTGGATCTATACTTCTATCCAAGCAGTATGTAGCCCAGAAACCTCTTTTTTTCTTTTAATCAGCAAAGGCTAAATCCACCACACAGCAGCATAATGTGCGTCTTGGAGACACCTCATTACCGCCATACTGCAGGTCAAACACGCACACCAGGAACCCGCCATATAGTAGCTCAAGCATGCAGGCTGCAGCTAACTTGAGAGAGACAACTAGGAAGCTGCTTTAGCTCTGTTTTAGAATCTTCTTCCTCAGGTTTTAGGTGAAAACTCTTGCCAACCCATTGGGTGCCAGTGGACATGGGCAACATCATCCCATAGGATAGGGTCCTGAAGTTAAAGAGGAGTTGGGGTGCTAAGGGCCAGAATTCATCTACTATCTATCTATCTATCTATCTATCTATCTATCTATCTATCTATCTATCTATCTATCTATCTACCTACCTTTCTTTTTTCTTTCTATTTACTGTCTGTCTACCATCTACTTATCTACCATCTATCTATCATCTATCTATCTATCTTTCTTTCTATTTACCATCTATCTACCATCTATCATATATATATATATATATATATATATATATATACACATATATATCTTTCTATTTACCATCTACCATCTATCTATTATATATATATACATATATATATATATATCTTTCTATTTACTATCTACCATCTATCTATCTTTCTATTTACCTTCTATCTACCATCTATCATATATATGTATATATATATATCTTTCTATTTAACATCTATCATATATCTGTCAATCTATCTATCTATCTATCTATCTATCTATCTATCATCTATCTCTATCTCCCTGTTTCCTGACTGCAGATGCCATGTGATGAAGTGTTTTACACTCCTGCCTTCATGATGTCTTCACCATTGTGGACTGTGTGCCCTAAAATTGGAAGTCCAAACACATTTTTTCTTCTTCTGTCAGGTATTTCATCCCAGCAACGAGAAAGTATCTAATACAAGCATAGATTTGACTTCTTAGTGGTATGCATTGCAAGGATGCCTGTTATTGCATGGAAAATGGGCCAACATGAGGACTCTCTAAATTTACAGGGAATAGCCATCCTTAACCCAATCTTAAGAGCTATTTTCAGAGACATTGTATACAATTCGAGAATTACAAAACAGGCATCCAGCACTGGGGAGACGGTTCAGAAGTTAAGTGTTCTCATGCAAGCAAGAGGACCTGAGTTCAGATCCCAGCACCCATGTAAAAGGCCAGGTGTGAGCTCACACATGCCTGTAACTTGTGCTGCGGGACACAGAGATAAGAGAATTGCTAGATTTGGTAGCCACCAGTTCAGCTCCAGGTTCAGTGAGAGACCCTGAATTCAGCGAAGAATAAGGTAGAGACTGATACAAAAGGACTCCAAATCCTCCTCTGTCCTCTGGAAATGTACACAGAGGTACATGCACACACATGCACACAGACCATACTCACATGTGCAGACAGAGAGAGAGAGAGAGGGAGATGTGCATCAGGTATGAACTGGCATGCCATACAGTCTACTCTATTACAGTAGTGTCATTTGTGTATCTACTATTTCAGGGATCATTTACTTTTTAGCCCTCAAAACAAAATCCTCATCTTTCATTTACCTGTGTCTATTCCTCCTGTAATGAAAACTGAGAGAATTGAAGACAACAGAAACTGAATAATTTACTCATTAATAAGAACAACTTTCTTCATATCTTGTAAATTGAGTTTTGAAGCCTAGAAAGTCTGAAAAAGAAAATCAGACACTCAATAATAGCCAAATTAATGTCTTCTATGAAAGCATTTAAAATGTAGGATATAAACTGTGAGAATTTTAAGATGTCCACAAACACTTTGGCAGACCAATCACCAACATGTAAAAGCTGTGTCTCCTACCCTTCAATCTTGGAAACATTCTTATTACCAGATAGAACAAAACTTGGGAACTATCTAACGTACCAGATAGAATGAAAGAGAAGTAAAAGTGGGTGCCTTTTGAAGCTATATCGTAAAAAAAGCAATGTAACTTGAAAGCTAAGGAAAAATTATCTTGACAGAAGGAAGGACATTGACATTAATAACCCAGAATTTCCATGTAAGAGTATAGAATACTCTGAAGTAGCCAGACTGTAAGGAATCCTGGGCTACGTAGGAAGATCCAGATGGTGTTCAGGTGGTCAGCCAGTGAAGACACCTACTGACCCGGGAACAGCTGCTGTCAGCTGTTAGCTGTGAGAGGAAGTAGCCTCAGACGCCCAGAGCAGTCGCAGCTCTAGATGACAGCCTCTGAGAGCAACCTCAGAAACATGCCCAGTGACACCACCCTGGAGAGTATTCTCCAAATGCCTGATTCATCAAATTGTGAGGGAAAAAAAATGTAATCTACCTAAAAAAATAAAGATCTTCATGTAGAACAATAGTGATTAGAACATAAACCTATCACAGCAGCCGGTCAATAAAAGAGCATTGGAAAATCTGACTTAGTATACCTGAGTTTGGAAAGCAACCAATTTGGGGCGGGGGCGGGGGTGGGGGGGGAGCTAGCTAGACCGGTATTTAAACTGAAAATCCAACAAATATTTTACTGAGCTTTTTTCTCTGAATTATTGATTTTTTTTAAAGTGCTACCATGATGGAATACAAAACACATCAGACTCGGAGAAGGCAAGCCTAGTCCTCACCCTTATTTTTCCTTTATGGCTTCAGATTAATCATGCACCTTCTCTGGACCCCACGTGGCTCTCCTCCCCCATTGGTTATGGCAATAATTAAAGAGAACTCCTCAGGCCCCATCCCTTTCACGACCTGCTGATAAGCTGGTACGATGTCAGACTGTGTCAATTAGTCTTCATGCTAAGAGGCACGCTTTCCACTGTTTTGGTATTGGGGGCCAGCAGTCACTTTTCAGTGTCAAACTCTGAAAATGTGAAGTTGGAGAGAAAGTGGTAATGTGTCCATCTGCTGGAAGCGTGCCAGGGACCTCATAGGACAGGTACCTGTTCAGGCAGAGCAGGAAGCATTGTTAATAACACCTCCCACCCCCGCTTCTAGAACAGACAGAAGCCTCGGGTGAAAGGGACCATTCCAACTTCAGTATAATGGTCCTCTCCCTGCCACAATCTCTGCGGCCCTTTATTAATTCAAGACAGTATTGTGCCATTCCAAAAGAACAACTAGACAATTGGCATATTTCCAGGAAGGGATAATTCTTTTTCTTCGGTTACGTTTGTTGGACTGCAGCCTCTGGTCCATGAAAATATCCTAGCAGTCAACTTCAACCTCCATAATTTTTATTTATGTCTTTCTCTCCAACCTGCACACATTCCCTCAAAAATGTCTATTCTGCTGATTATCCTTTAAAATATGTTCCAATGAATTAACTCACACTAGTGCAGTGGTTTCTCAACCTAATGTCTATATTTGAAGCAAATGAGAATATGTTGAAGAGGCAGACTGGGAGATAAGGTATGTAGCAATGCCCTTCCTACTCAAGGGCAAAACCACCTACCACTCCCAGCCACATCTGTGACAGTCAAGTACATCTAGTACTGCAAACTGCAACTTGGCTCCAGTTGGAAAAGACTTTGATAATGCTTTGATGAAAACCTGTGTATTATGATGCCCCTCCCAAGGTAGCTAATGAAGATAATGATACAAATCAAAGGAATAAATGTCTCCATGTTTACACAAAAGACCCAGGATAACCAAAAACAATCCTGGATAATAAAAACACTGTTGGGAGTACCATCATTCCAGATTTCAAGTTATACTGCAGAACTACAGTAATAAAAACAGCATGGTACTGGCATAAAAGCAGACACACTGATCAATGAAATAGAACTGGGGACTCCCATATAAAACAACACTTTTATAACCAACTGATTTTTGTGCATGTGTGTGAAGAGGACAATACATATTGAAGAAATGACAGCATCTTCAATGAAGGCTGCTGATCAAACTGGATAATTACGTACAGAAGAATGAAACTTGATCTTCATTTCTCAGTCTTCACAAAACTCAACTCTAAATGGATCAAGGATACAACATAAGACTTGATACCTTGAATATGATGTGGGGGGAGTAAGGAAGATGCTTGAGCATACAGACATAGGAAAAGACTTTCTGAGAAGGGTCCTGTTAGCCAGGCATGAAGATGAAGAGTGACAAATGGTACCACTAAAAAACTTCTGTACAGCAAAAGACAACATCATTCAAGTGAAGAGGCAGCCTACAGAATGGAAAAGAAATACATAATTGCTATACGTCTGAGGGCTAGTGTATAGAATATAAGAAGCCACTCAAAACTAAACATCAACAAAACAATCAACCTAATTTAAAATTGGGGCATAGAGCTCTCGCCAGGAGTCCTCCTTGGAGTGACATCATCTTTAAACCCTGCATGGCAATCCCTGACGCACTGCCGTGATACCCAGGAAAGACAGGGCGACCTGGAAGTCCAACTACTTCCTTAAGATCATCCAACTTTTGGATGATTACCCAAAATGCTTCATTGTGGGAGCAGACAACGTGGGCTCCAAGCAGATGCGGCAGATCCGCATGTCCCTGCGAGGGAAGGCTGTGGTGCTGATGGGCAAGAACACCATTATGCTCAAGGCCATCCGGGGGCACCTGGAGAACAACCCAGCTCTGGAGAAACTGTTACCTCATATCCGGGGTAATGTGGGCTTTGTGTTCACCAAGGAGGACATCACTGAGATTAGGGACATGCTGCTGGCCAATAAGGTGCGGGCTGCTGCCCGTGCTGGTGCCATCGCCCCGTGTGAGGTCACTGTGCCAGCCCAGAACACTGGTCTGGGGCCAGAGAAGACCTCCTTCTTCCAGGTTTTAGGTATCATCACTAAAATCTCCAGGGGCACCATTGAAATTCTGAGTGATGTGCAGCTGATAAAAACTGGAGACAAAGTAGGTGCCAGTGAAGCCACACTGCTAAACATGCTGAACATCTTGCCCTTCTTCTTTGGGCTGATCATCCAGCAGGTGTTCCACAAAGGCAGCATTTACAACCCAGAAGTGCTCGACATCCCAGAGCAGACTCTGCACTCCCGCTTCCTGGAGGGTGTCCGAAATGTTGCCAGTGTTTGTCTGCAGATTGGTTACCCGACTGTTGCCT